CGGACGGTGGTGAGGCTCCGGACTCGGTTCTGGTTCTCGGAAAACTGCGTGTACGGTCGTTCTCTACGGTAAGGCTGCTCCGTCGATACGGGTCTCTCTGGTGGAGTAAACATAGGTGCCTTACCGTTGCGGTGATCGACAACATATGCACTCCGGGACGAACCAAGCTGCACTGAGGCAGAGGAAGGACATAAGCTTGCTGTCTCGCTCGCTTCCGTTCGATCGCGTCGTCGTCCAGCTTTTGGTCCAACTGGCAGAGGAAGGACATAAGCTTGGAGAGGACAACAGTCTCCGTGACGCTACCGTCGGAGACAGTCGGCGATGCCTCATGAGAACCTTCAATAACCGGGGACAAGGTAGGTGCGTTTTGGTCCATTTTGTTGGATCGAAACGAATCTGATACCAATTGTTAGGGGAATGATAGATATCTTTGTAAATCTCTTGTCAACTGAATAAAGATGGAAACTTTGATTGAATAAAACCAATCTGTTACAAGAAAAAGATGAACACACAGAGGTATTTAGGAGCCTCTTACTCTCCTTTCTCTCTCTCACAAAAATGATCAACAATCTGATAAAGTAAAAGTGACTATACGCCAAAGGACTTATAGCTCTCTCTCCCTTCAAGCCGTTGCCACCCTTGATGATGTGTCCTGTACCTTCCTGCTCTTGTTCTGATCCTCAGATGAGTCATCATCTCCTTGAGGCGGCTTCTCCTTTTGGGCTCTTGGCCTGGCCCTTTTGTACTGATAAAGGATTGGTGCCCTCTCTAGTTCCCTGCTGCTAACATTCTTCCTATGCTTGCTTGTTGGTTTGATATTGTAAACCCGCGGCAAAGCGAATAACTTCCCTTAAAACTGTTTCCCGCGATGTTTCTTTCAACCGAGAGTTTTTCCATATATAGTATATAATACAACGTAAAAACATCGCAGGAAATATGAAAGGATAAGGAAATAGAAGTGTACAAAGTGTGTGAGTTAGTTGGTTGTTCGAAAGTGTTGCCTTTTAGGGATATCAACTGATTATGTAAAGGATCTTAATTCATAGGACCTCAAAAATTCTCTCAGCCATTGTCCGAGGAGGAACCTCCATATCAGAAAACCGCTATATCATGGAATATAATTCGGGGTTAGTCAAATGGAACTTTTCAACTTTCATGCATTGATTACACCGTTTATCAAGAGTTAATAAAAGTCTTTTACAGGGAGTGGTGTGATTGAATTGAAGATAACCGACGCTTCAACTTACTATGTTGCTGTGGCTAACGTGAACATGAGAGAAGTAAAGGTAATAATATGAGATGATATTTGTTCAGGTGGAACTGGATCTTGATGTGAGGGCTGTCTTGTATGATACTAAACAATCTTCCTACAAGTGTACCTTCAGCAACGAAGACTGCACATTCAATGCGATGTCTCTTTGTGGAAATTCTTTTGTCTTAACTTCGCCTGCACTGATACAGGTATGTATTCTCCAGGAAACACACCGACAAAGTTTATATTAGTACTCTCGCCTCATTGCTCATCTCTCATTGCCTCTGAGCTCAGGGAGCATCCGTTGAAGGGTGGTACATCAGGTTCTCATATCAACCTAGATTGATTGGATATCTTATTAGCGCAGGTAAACATTTCATTTGCTTCATAATGATAGCATCAGACGTCGCTGTGCCATTTGTTATGATGCTCCAAGAGGTTGTTTTTTCCTCCCATGTGGCCATGCATCTCTTGTTATCAATGTGGAACAAAGTAAGTTTTTTGTCCAACTAATATCAAATCTACTCGATTGCAAAATTGTTTTTATCATCTTAACATTGTGATGGCTAATATGTTGTGCAGGGTTGCAGAAGCTCGTGGGAATCGGAATTGGCTTTTAGAAGCTGGTGGGAATTGTCTGATCTGTAGAAAGGAGATAATGAAAGTGAAGCGTATATTTACAGTGTAAAATGAATGAATAACTATCTAACATAATGTTGAATCTATAGAGCATTAATAAGAAAAACAAATATAATTGAATATTGACAAATGCTCAGTTTCTTTCCCTGGAATTATTCGTTTCGGTTCCTTGACCATATCTTTGCGACAAAACCGTTCTTAACCAATGGGATCGATACCTGAAACTGGTAAGTCAGGAGAAAAAGTAAATGAATGAAATATTGTAAATGAATATGCAATGCAAGAATGTAAATTATATAATTTATACCTTTAACACACGATACTACGATTGGGAAGAGAGATTGCAATATAATCTATTTGGAACTATACATTTTAAGTTTTTAACAAAGAGAGAAACAAATCTTGTGGTCAAAGTTTTCCATATACTGCTTCTCTTCTCTACACTCATCTCCCCCATAACTCACATGCTCCTTCATATATATACTTTGACTATCTTCACTCAATCAGATTGCAAGATACTCCTTGTTCTATCTGATAAGTTTGAGTCATTCCATTATCACCATTTTAATTTAAAATTTTCGATAATTTCAACTATTTTTAAAATAGGTAAATGGAAACAAAAAATCTGGTCTAAGAAAAAAAATGGAAAGCTCTTCATTTTAGGTTGAAATTTTTTTAGTTCAAGCCATTGGAAATATAA